CAGGTACATGGAAAGGTGCTCAAGATCACTAATCATCAGTGAAACTCAAGGGAAAATCACCATGAGATAACACCTCACACCTATTAGAATGGCCATTATCAAAAAGACAAAAGATGGCAAGTGTTGGTGAGGATGTGGAGCAAAAGAAAGACTTGGTGCACTGTTGGTAGGATTGTAAATTGGTGCAGCCAATATGGAAAACAATATGAGGGTTCCTCAAATGACTTAAAATAGAAGTACCATATGACCCAGCAATTCCTTCTGGGTATTTACCTGTAGAAAGTGGAATCATTATCTTGTATAGGTATCTGCAGCACTACGTGCACTGCAGCATTATTCACAATAGTCAACACAGAAACCAACCAAGTACCCACTGACACGTAACTAGACAAAGAAAATGTGATATATCTTTTATATAAACATGTACAATGAAATATTATTCAGCACAAAGTGTAGGTAACAGAGCCATTTGTGACAATATGAATGAGCCTCAGGGGCATTATACTAAATAAAATAAACTAGACAGACAAAGACAACTACTACATGGTCTCACTTATATGTGGAATCTAAAAGAGCTGAATTCACAGGCACAGAGATTAGAATGATGTTTGCCAGGGATGGGGATTGAAGAGAAGTGGAGAGATGTTGGTTGAAGGATGCAAATGTCCAGTTATAAGATAAATAAGTTCAGGGGATCTAATGTACAGCATGGTGACTATAATTAACAATACTGTATTGATACCTGAAAACTGCTAAGAAAATAGATCATAAATGTTCTCACTAAAAAAAAAAAAGTAATTTCGTGAGGTAATGGATGTGTTAACTAACCCTATTACAGTAATCCTTTCGCTATATATGCATATTAAATCATCATGCTCTATATCTTAAACTTATACAATGTTACATGACAATGTCTCAATTAAAAAAACTAAACAAAAAGAAAACAAATCAAGTTTTACATCTTGAATACATACATTTTTTATGTCAATGATATCTCAATAAAACTTAAAAACTGAAGCAAATCTATAATACAAGAAATGTTAAAGAAGGCTTTTTTCAGGTAGTAGGATAATTATACTGGATAAAAACATGACTTACAGACAACAAAAGCACTAAAAAAGCAGTAAAAACATGTAAGGGTAAATATAAAGTATATTTTTCTTATAATTTAAATTTCTTTGAAAAGTTGATTATTTAAACAAAAATAACTATAAAGTATGGGAATTATAACATATGTACAAGTAAAACATGTGACAGTGAAAGCACAATGGCCAGGAAGAGAGAGATGAAAAATAAACAAATCCACAATTATAGTCAGAGATTTTTAACACCCTTTTTTCAATAATTGCTAGAACAAGTAGATACAAAATCAGCAAAAAGACAGACATAACACCATAAATTAATTTGACCTGATTGACATTTATAAAACACTCCACTCAACAGCAGCAGAATATACATGCTTTGTAAGTGCACCCAGAACATATACCAGGGTAGACAATACCCTGGCTATAAAACAAGTCTCAATACATTTAAAGGACTCAGGTCACACAAAATATGTTCTTTGACTGCTATGGAATTTAATTAGAAGTCAATAAGACAACAATATCTGGAGAGTCACTGAAACAGAAAAATCTGTAAAATATTACACAAGAATTAAAGAAAGGCAAATGAAAATTAGAAAGTATTTTGAACTAAATAATATGAAAATACAACATGTCAAAATTTGTGGGATGCCATTAAAGCTTTACTTAGGAAAAATGTATAGTATTAAATGCTTATATTAAAAGAGACAAAGGGATCAAATCCATCATCTCAGCTTTCACCTTGAGAAACTAGGAAAAGAAAAAGCAAATGAAACCTAAAATAGGCAGAAGAAAGGGAATACAGACCAGAATGGAAATCAGTGAAATAAAAAATAAAACAAAACAAAAAAAGAGAAAATCAATGAAAGCACACACTGGTTCTTTGAGAAGCTCAATCAAACTGAGCAGGATTAATCAGGAAAAAGAGAGAAGATATATCAGAATCAGCAATAAGAAATGTGACAACACTACAGATTCTATAGATAATAAAAAGATAGTAAGAGAATATCATGAACAACTTGACGACAATAAATCTGAAACCTTAGATAAAATTCCTTAAAGACACAAACTACCCAAGTTCACTCAAGAAAAAATAACCAAAATATCCTAATATCTATTTTAAAGAAATATAATTTGTAGGTAAAATCCTACCCACAAAGAAACTCCAGGCCTAGATGGAGTCACTGTTGAATTTTATAAAACATTTAAAGAAGAAATATTACTTCTACACAAACTCTTCTAGAAAATAAAACAGGAGGGAACATATCCAACTCATTCTATGAAGCAGGGATTCCCCTGATACCAAAGCAAACAAAGACATTACAGAAAAAGCAAGCAAACTAAACTACAGATCAATATTCTTAACAAACATAGATGTCAACATTTGAACAAAATTTTAGCCAGTTGAGTTCATAAACATTATGACCAAATGGGGATTATTCTAAGTGTGAGGTTGTTAACAATAAGAAAAACCATGTGATCATCTCAATGGACATACATAAAGCATTTGACAAAATCCAGCATTCATTTATAATATTCATTGCCACAGATTAAATATTCTGAATCACAATCCTCTCACTTCTTATTTTTAAACTTTCTCATTGCTTCCCATAGTGAAGTCCAAATTCCTTGGTCTGGTATTCAAGGCTCATTATGATCTGTCCCCAACCTGGTCCCTAACAACCCAGTATGGCTTCACCAGCACTGCTCAATATAGACCTGCTGTAAAATGCCTTGTACCTGATCTTTGCTTTTCTGCCTCTTTCACTTTGTTTATGCTGCTCCTTTGCTCTAGGCTAGTGGTTTTCAACCCTGTTGTGCATAAGAATTACCAGGAGGTTAAAAAGATATACATAGTATATATGATGCCCGACTCTACCACTAGGAATTCTGACTCAGAGTCTGGGGTAGGGCCAGGAAATTAAAAGCTCCCCGGGTGATTCAACCATATAGGTAGAATTGTTCTCACAGACTACAAATTTGTAAATCTAATATTTACTTATCCCTTCAAGATATTCTACATGATAGTTGCTTCCCAGATTATCCTCTGCTAGAAGAAAGCTCTCCTCTGAATGCCTTGATACTTTATTTGCCTGTCTCTTCATCCTTACCTGCAGGTCTTCCCTGATCTGAGCAGAAGTTCTTGAAACCGTATTCATAATTCTTTCTCTGAATTTTTGCCCCAAATGAGTCATCATTTTTACTATGGTAGGTACCGAATAAATAATTTAAGTGTTTTTAGAAGGTTGATAAGTTTTCTCTCTAGTTAAATGGTTAATAGTGGTTGGTTTTAGGAAATCTAACCTAAGGGGGGGAAAGTTTCCTTTATGTCTGACCTGCAACTCTGGCTAACAACTTCTTGTAACCTTTTAACACTTGCTATCAATATGTGTTTGTTACTAACAATTTACAATTCAATCTGTTCTCTATGCCAAAAAAAAAAAAAAAGCAGAATTAAGTAAATGTATAGGACCCAGATTTTATTTTAATTCTAATATCAACTTTCTTTCAGATCAATTCTTTTGCCATAGATACTAACAACCATACAAATGAGTCAACGAGTTAAAAGTCCACCTTTTTTTTGTTGTTCATTAGATTTCACATATAAGTGAAATTATCTGGTACTTGTCTTTCTCTGACTGGCTTATTTCACATAGTATAATACTCTCCAGGTCCATCCATGCTGTCCCAAAGGTAAGATTTCTTTTTTCTTTTTCCTTTTCACATGGTTGAATAATATTCCATTGTGTAAATGTACCTACCACAGTTTATCCACTTATCTACTGATGGGCACTTGGGTTGCTTCTTGGCTATTGTAAATAATGCTGCAATGAACATAAGGGTGCATATATTCTTTTGAATTAAAGTGGAATTGCTGGGTCATTAGGCAGTTCCATTTTTATTTTTTGAGGAAACTCCATACTGCATTCCACAGTAGCTGCACCAATCTGCATTCTCACCAACAGTGCACGAGGGTTCCCTTTTCTCCAGATCCTTGCCAACACTTGTTGTTTGTTGATTTATTGATGATAGGCATTCTGGCAGGTATAAGAGTGATGTCTCATTGTGCTTTTAATTTGCAGTTCTCTGATGATTAGTGACATCGAGCATCTTTTTATATGTCTATTGGCCATCTGTATGTCCTCTTTGGAGAAGTGTCTGTTCAGGTCCTTTGCTCATTGCTTAGATTGTTTGTTTTGTTGTGTTTTTTTTTCTTCTTCAAAATAAACTAACAAACAAAATAAAACAAACTAATAGATACAGAGAACATACTGACAGCTGTCAGAGGGAAAGAGGTTTGGGGGCTGGGTGAAAAAGGTGAAGGGATTAAGCAAAGAAAAAACAACTTATAGACACAGACAACAGTATGGTGACTACAAGAGGGAAAGGAAGGTGGGGAGAGGGAGAAGAGGGTAAATGAGGGATAAATGCTGATGGAAGGAGACTTGACTTGGGGTTGTGAACACATAATACAATATACAGATGTCATAGTTTAGAATTGTACACTTGAAACTTATATAATTTTATTGCCCAATGCCACTCCAATAAATTCAATTAAAAGAAAATATCTACCTTTCTCTTTCTATATCGAACTCAAGGTACTACTAGAAGAAAAAATATACTAAGTCCACCTGACTGACTTGCCAATAATAAAGAAAAGCCCTTGAATAATTGAGTTGACTTTATTTGTAGGGCTATGTAGTGATGTTTTCTCTGGCATCCTTAAAGAATTAACATTCATTCTTTGGTTCCTTAGAAAGTTATATTGATTCCTTTTAGTTGCCCAGAACATGAAACAGTTATATTATATCTAATTTCTTAAATAAAACCATGGATGACAAAACAGATGAAAACTCTGCTTCCTACTGACTATTGCTCCTATCCCAAAAGAAGATATTAGATAATTAGAGTATGTACCTGGATCTATCTTGGCCCACGTCTTCATCACTCATAGACTCAGGCTTCCACTTTTTATTTGTAAGGGATGATTGTGCATTAAGTTTCTCAGAATCACCAAACAAAGATAGGAAATAATCCTCCCCATCCCCAATCATAGCTGGCTCAGAATCATGGAATGACGGAGTCTTGTTATTTGGACCTATGAAGCTGTTGACTTCTTTCAAAGAAATCAAAAAGGAAAGTAACAAAGAGAGAAGTAAATAAAAGAATATTGAAAGAACTCAAAGCCACTATCTTTATCTTTTGCTTCCAAATAACTATTTTCTTTACACATTTTACTGTCACTGTCAAACTAAATGAAGATTATTAAAAGCTCTAAACCAAAGTCTACAAAATTACCAGTAAGTGATTATTTTTAGTGATACTCAATTCCTAGAGATTATTTTAAACTATCAATTACATTATCAGCACAATGACTAACTGATTATTTATTTGTACAAGAATCATCATAAGTTTTTGAGTAGGTAAAACATTTGAGTCTCTCAAATTTGAATGTCATATATACGTACAACTTTGCTCTATTTTATATTAGCTATTCTCTCCAAATTGATACCCATAAATTAAACCTTTCCTATCAATATTCAGTAGTTTAGCCAGGTAAAGATGTAAATTTCCTCTCATCAACTAAAACACTTTATTAGAAAAATAATGTTTAATCAGATTCTCTTATCCTCTTGAAAATACACTCCTTTAAAATTCTCACTATTAAGATCCAAACATGGAATAGGTTTCTTGATTTTGCATAGAAAGAACCATGCTGAGTAAATCTAATAATCTAAGTGCAAAGAGAAAATAACACTACAGAAAGGCAGCATGATGAAGTGGCTAGAGCAATATGTCTTGGATTTAGACAGACCTGCAATTGTATCCCTGCTCTGTCACTGACTAAGCCAACTCATATAAACTCTCCAAGTCTCAGTTCTTCCTGAACATAAAAAAAAAAAAAAAAAATACTACCTTGTTAAGGTGACATGAGGATTGAAGGTAATGTAGATAAGTGTCTAGCAGTGTCTGGTATTTAGCAGGTACTCAATAAATGATAGTTATTATTGCAAGCCTGGGTCCAAAATCATCAAAGAATTAACTCAATCTAGAGTTTGCTTTATGGTTGTGAATATTTAACCAAATCAAAGTGAGGTGAAAGCTGGAAAGAATTAAACTCAGTTCCTAAACAGGATTCCTCAAAGTATTTTGTTTAGAAGGAATGTTTGAAATTAAATTAATTTATTCCTAGTCAAGTGAGTATTTACTTCATCCTTTAATTACTTTGGAAATAGAGAATATATAGCAGCCCTTTTAATAGTTCATCCTGAGGGATAAGAACCTTTGTATTCTAAAGGGAAAGAGATATTAATTTTAGTCCCAGTCATTATTTCATCTAGAGGAACAGATGGAAATGATCCAAATACAATAAGTTGCAGCAAACTCAGACATCCATCTACACAAGCAGGACTTACTGCAACTGAATGAGAAGATTACATCCTAGCTCCACTCTCATCTTGCAAGGGGAAGCCACTATATTTTGGTTTTGTTTTTTGTTTTTTTCCCACTAATACTGGCAGCTTTCCCAGTTTGACTCAAATATAGAACATATGCCCTGATGATACAGTGCGAAAGGACAGAAAATGTGCCCTCCCTAGATCTAAAATCTGTATTTTCACTTTTAAGCACATGAATTCGGTCATTGCTAAAGGTCAGTGTGAACTTAGGAGGCTTCTTTGAAAAATGTATCTTAGGCATGCAAACAATGAAGCACAGGGAATACAGCAACAATGGCAGTAGGTCAGAATCCTAGAACCACTGTGTCAAGGCTTAGGCAACTACCAAAAACCAAGTCAAATGTCGATAAGAAGCCACCAGGCTCTAACTGTGCACAGAATGGTAGAGGAAAATGGAGGCATCAGGAAGCCATGAGTTACCAGTTTTGAAATATGTTAGTTGATTGGTCATTGAAATACAGACCCTAATTTAGCCCGTTCTTTGAGAAGATACTTAGAGATATGTTCAGATTTATAACTAATTTTTTTTTGAGTCCTTACTATGTGCTAGGCGATTTTCATAAATATCTTACATCTCCTTTAATAATCTTTAGGATAGCCCTGTGAAGTTAATATGTTAATCCCTATTTTGCAGTTGTGGAAAATGGGACTCATAGATGCTAAATACCTTACCTAATGTCTCACACTGTTGGGAGTATTAAGATAGTTTGGAACTTGGTCCTTTGTTTCCAAGAACAGTGGTCTTTCCAGGAAACTAATAACATACCCTCAGAGTTCCCTATACATGGTGAGGAATACACACCCTTGTAGCGTGGGTATTGCTGAGTGCATTGTTGGCAATTGTTAAAACTTTACTTCTTCCTACTATAGTTCTGTTCTTATTTTCCTATCCTCCAAATACTTTATTGTTTCTCCCTTTTCTCTCCACCATTTTACCGCCTTCATTTTTCTTCTTTCTGCTATCTATCTGTCTTTTCCTCACCAAAGCTGTAAATCTCCTAAAAGCACAAAGTACATAAGATATTGCTTAAGCTTTCTGATAGCATTAAGAGGAAAGCAGTTAATGTTATACATTAGAATTTTTTAAATTATCTAGTAATTCTAGAATATTTAAGCAGTCAACCCATGAACCATTATGATAACTGAAGATATTTTAATCACGGGGATGATATACTTGGCCACATACGTTTATGTGACCAGAGAAAATTTATCGAATATATAATTTAAAAATAGTCTAAAAAAAAATCAGTACATGTGTTGCTTACCCGTGCTTTCTGATTGGAAATGGCTCACTGTAGTTGATTTAGAAGACTTGGGTGCAGTTGTTGATAAAGATAGTCCACTAATCTGAGAGCAAGGCAGATAGTGAGTGAGAAGTATTTCGCTGGATGATGACTGTGACAATGGCAGTACTTTTCTACCTGAATGTATAACCTTTGGAAAAAAATGTACTAGAGATTGCTGTATTCTTGAGAGATGGGCATGCATATCTTCTCTTCTGTGTACAAAAATTAGTATAATAAACAAAGTAAGAAAGTCAAAATGAGTAGACTATGAACACAAGAAGCAAGAACTATCATCATTACCCAGAGTTCTGCTATTCAAAGGTGTTATGCATCTAATATAAGCAAAGAACATCTTATATTTCTAGCTTTAACAATCCAAATAGCACACTTTAGTATCAAGTTAAGATAAGCTTTTTTTTCTCTTTAAAAATCAATACATTCCCATTGTTGATGGTATTGAAAAAGTGTAAAAGTAGACAGAAAATAAAAATCAACAAAGAATTGTACCATTTATTTCCAGGATTTTAAATGAATTTTTCTTTACACAAAATTAAGACTCTATAAACCATTTATATCCCACATTCTTCACTCATTATATCCTATTTCCCCTTTCTAGCAACATAAAAATATAATTCTTGTTTAATATGTTTACTATACCTTTTTTCTTTGACTTCTGCTGCTGAATTAATTTTCCTATATTTATAAAGATTCTAGGGTTAATATCTGCTTTAAAATACACTCTGAAAATTAATGACTATAAATATAGTACACATGTGTATATATGTATACATATATGTGTGTATGTGTGTGAGTGTGAGTGTGTGTGAATGTTGAAAGGAATAGCAGGAAAAGAAAGACTTAATTTCCAGGTATCATTTTATACACAAATGTTATTATAAAAACATTATTTTCATAAATATAAAAGCATTTAACTAATGCAAAAAGGTTTTTTAAAAGTCCCTAAATTACAGTTAAATTATTTTACAGGTTAAACAATATCCTCACGATATGACTCATGAAAAGGCTTATTACAATCCCATTTTATTCATTACACTGAGACTCTTCTCAATAAACTAAAAGCAATCTCTCTGTGTGTGTTTAATGCCTGAATTGTGAACAAATTTCTGGGGTTCAAAACCTTTTAGTTCTCTGAAACACTGGATAAATGACCAGCCAGCTTAAGTACCCCCTTTTCTGGGGGTCACATATCCACTGTAATTTAGAAATTAAGTATTTTACCTTCATGGATTGTCTCTATTTTGATCTCTTTGTTTTTCAGAGTTCCTATAAAATTATTTTAGCCAGTTTTCAGTTGTATTAAAAAAAAAACCAAAACACATTTTCATAAGGAAACAAGAGGTTGGAGCTTCCTAATCTGCCATCTTGCTGATGTTTGTCTCAATCTCTCTGTTATCAAGAGGTGTTCACAGTCCTTCTGTTTTACAATTTTAAGTTCCTTCATCAAGAATATTAATCTGGAGAGTTTTTACTCAAAACTAGACTTCTCTAAATGTACCTCTCAGAAGGCACAGACATCTCAGGCAAATTATTTTTTATAATTGAATGGCATTGGATTTGAAAATTGCGTCATTCCTGGCCCGGTACTCATTAAGCTTGAGCACTGCCATTCTGCTGACACTCCAAGCACTCATGTCTGAAAAGCTCAAACCCTGAACACACACATGAGTAGGACTGCGGTGGTAGTAGGATGGGGACTGTACAGATATGTTGTCAAATTACCAATATCCCATCTCTGTCCAACTTGAAACAGGCTCCTCTGATGGGATTTCTCTCTGACACTGGCTAGAATAAGCAGGAAAAGTATTTTTTTCAAAGTTCCTTATTACATCTGGGTTTCATTACAGATGAACTGGCTATATATTTCAGCATGTTCATCTTATAAGCTCTGATTTTTTTTTTTCTTCAGAAAAACAATAGTGTTCCCAAATAAATTTAATTCCACAAAAGGTCCCAATAAGCCTTGGTAAATGTTGCAATCAAAGAAATATGGCCTAGGACTCCAGGGTGTTCTTATTTTTATATTTGAATAAGAAACTTCTATTGGCTGCACACCCCTTTGGAAGAGCTGAAATATTTCAGGCAGAGATGCGCGTGATGGAGACCATTGTCCGGAAACCCTGCACTCACAGACCTACTAGACTCTTCTCAGAAGATGAGAGATTTGTCTTAGAGCTTAGTTAGCTTTCCCTACTGCTTAGCATATGGAATTTTCCAAGCCCTTCCTTGGTATTTTTCAGCCTCTGTGATTGGTTAGCACTGAACCAGAGGCAGTTATAAAAGTTCAGTTTCAGCATTTCAAATTTTGGGGGGGAGATGTTGCATTGGTAATACTGAAAACAGTCATTTCTCAGCTATGAAATGATTAAAAATATAAATTTCAATAAATAAAATATTTTAAAAAATGAACTTGAACTGAACAGTAAACACAGGACATCTAGGTCCAAAGTAGTAACACTAGCTTTAAATTGTGTAAATTCAATACAATAGGTTTTTTGTTTTTTTGTTTTTAAACACTGGAAAACCAATGCTAATGCTTTAGTTGGTAGAATGATTTACATTAGTAGTAAAAATGGGGAACTGTAGTTTTTATTTAACATCCTCACAGACATATCCCAAACCAAAATTCGTTAGCAATTCTTTGTCCCCAGGTCAGGAGAGTGGCTCTAAGGAAATTAGCTGCCAATTGTCTTCTCATGTTGGATATGAGCTTTGGACCCTCAACTAGGACTGATAAGATGAAGACCTGGCTAAGTGTATTTTTATTCTCCTCAAGGACTGAGCCTCATAAAGCAGTGGGTGGGAAATAGTTGTACATTATAGTTAATTTTAAAAATGTGTAGAATCAATTCTACTTTATTAGATGTTTTGAGACAAGAGGTCAAGCACTCCAACATTACCCTCTGAAACTCAGGCCCTTCTCGCCTCTCATTTGTGCCATGCTTACTGGGTTTGTTTCTCCATTTTCTCTTCCTGCTCAGGGACTTGACTCTGCAGGGCTGTTGATGTTTCCTGAGTGACTTGTAGGTCTTTCATCTTGTCTAGGAGAAAAGTCTGTTTTCTTTCCTGGAAAAACAGATCATGACATTAGGCAATGAATATAGGTGAGGTTCAAGCTAGATTTTCTTTTTCAAGTGACCTCACCTGTTAATATAACTTCCTTAAAGCATCTGCCATGTTAAATGATTTTTTTACCAAGCTAGTGCCAGGATCCAGTTTCTAAGGGGAAGATGTAAGTTCTGACATAGCCAATGCTGATATTGGCTGAGGCTATCAGACAAATCAAGGTGAAGGTGTGAAGCATTCACTGGAAGAAGCTCAAGAGGCAGGGTAGGAACACAGCATACCTGTCTTTATGACTACAACTTGTACATCTTGCCAGCGCTGCCTGTTAGAACACTGTGGGGTAATATCTCCATGGTTACAAAGTTCCAGTCTCTGAACAATTGCTGGGTTGGTGCTGCACCTGTTTTGCAGTTTGCGGACATGAAATAAGGTAACTTGCTTTTAGCAGAGCCAGAGCTCCCGCCAGACAAACTTTGTCACCAAAATGTTTGATATCCTATTTTGGATTTCTGAGGGTCAAGGCTAGTATGTAATAAATATTAGAAAGTTAATCTCAGTTTTGAAATGTTGATTTTAAACAATTTCTATTGTTTTTTGTTTTGTTTGACACATATTCTTTGAACACATGGAAACAAACAGGAAGCAGGAACGAAACACTTACATACTTTTAAGGCAAAAATAAACCTACTGGTAGAAATGGTGAAATTAAAGTCAGGAGACCTAAATTCTTCTAGTTATGCCAGCACTATGATTTAAGAGATCACTTAATTCAGATTCTACTTTGAGTAAAAAAATCTACACTTAATGTTTTATGATAATGAGGGCATGAGAATAAAATTAATACATATGAAAGTACATCATTGTACACAATGATATGATATATTAATGGTAATGATTACTGGATGAGTAAGTTAATTCAAAAATATTTAAATGAGCATATTCTATGTATCAGAAACCAGCAATGTACTATGAATAAAAAATTCCTGCTTCAAGGAATAATGATAAAACATCTTCCAATTTAGATTAGAAGATGACTTCTAGAATTATAAATGATATTGAAATACAAATAACAATGAACAAAGTAACTATTTTAATAAATCAAAAGACAAGAAATATATCAATATATCACACAATGAGGCAAGTAAGTTAGAGGAGGGTAAGCATTTGACTATATTTTCTCTACAGTGATGAAGTGTAACTTCTTATCTGTGTTATGGGCCAACTGTACAAATAGCCTAAAGAGATTTATAGTAAATTGTAATTTAAAAAGTAAATATAAAGAAAAAAATCAAAAATAAAATAAGAACCATATAAATTTATACATATGCTTAGAAAAGATTTAAACATGGATTTATTATTTATTGCCACTATCCCAGTTTCCCTAACTCCCCCTGTCTGGTTTCCTAGCTCTAAAATGTCTTTACTTCAACTATATATATTAGCATGAAGTCATTATGACCACATGTGTTTTGTCAGAGAGTCTATTCACATTTTCCAACTTAGTTTGGAGAAACAAAATTCTGTCAACTGGGAAAAACTTTGGAAGGTTTTAATTTTGTAAATGTTTCAATAGTCATTTCCTATACAGGATATTTTCTTTATTTCCTTCTCCCAAATTATAGCATATATACAACTAAAACCAATTTCCTCTTTTCTTGTTACTTGAACTAAACAGGTGAGTTTCAACAGGGATGAAATGAACAATAGGGGGCATTTTGTCAATATGAAGAAACATTAGTAGTACTCATAATGATTTGGTGGGGTGCTACTGGCATTTAGTGGACGGGAGCCAGAGATGCTAGATTTCTGCAATGTGGCAGATAATCTTAGTTGGCAAGGATTCTCCCATGTATCACATAATTTGCCTGAGATTCATGTAGGTAAAAAATAGTTTATAATTTTCTGAGCATAAATTCTAACTTCCTATTACCTATAAAGTATTTTTGTACACCTTTTATATACCAATTTCCCAGAAAGTAACTATTTACTGTTTACATTGAAGGAAGATTATATATTGGTTTGTTCAGACCTTTTTCAAGAACTGTTATCAGTTTGGGAAAATTACATCATCTATGGCAATACTACTTGGTGTATTTATGGATTGCTGTAACTTACCTGACATAGGTAATAATAGTAACAACAACAACAAAATTGACCTGAATCTAATGAATCCTCTAACTTACATAAAATGCAGAAAACAGAAGAGCACGTTAGCTAATAGATTAAGAGATTTAAAAGATGAACTTTGTAATTTGTGGGTATAAAGTATATTCTAATTCAAGTAAACTATACAACATTTATAAAACATTGGACACGTAAACACACTGAGTATTTAATAATATTAAGGAATAACAAATATTTTAAATATGTTATGGTATCACCTATTTTTTATTTTAATCATTTTATTTTAATTGAATTTATTGGGGTGACACTGGATCACAAAACCATACAGGTTTCGAGTGTACAACTCAACAAAACACCATCTGCCCACTGCATCGTGCACCCGTTGCCTCGAGCAAAGTCTCTTTCTGTCCCCATTCCCCCCTCGCCCCTTTGCCCACCTCCACCTGCCTCCTACCCCCCTTCCTTCTGGGCATCACATTTTTAAAAAATAGAATCCTTATTGTTTAGAGATACCTAGTGAAACATTTATGGATAAAATGATATGATACTTGGATTTGCTTCAGAATAATATAGAGGGTAGGGAGCGGATGTAGATGAAAAAGATGGGCCATGACTTATACTTTTTGAAGCTGAGTAATGTACATGAAGACTCATTATACAGTATGTCTATTTTTTTTCTGCATATGTTTGAAATTCTCCATAGTAAAAAGGCTAAGAAAGGGAGGATCAGTTTGGAATGCGTAGACTTCCAGCATCGAGAGCATCATCACCATGGCTATCTCTAGCTCAGGAGCTCTTGATAGGGTCAAGCAAGAGCTGAAAGGGAAAAGTAGAAACACTATTTATGGGGTCTTCACATCGGTTCTTTCAACACAACTCTGGAACCTAGAAATGTCCTCATTTTCGAAAATGAGGGAATGAAAGTTCAGAAAAATGAACACCTCCTCCAAGGTTATACAGCCAATAAATGGCATAGCCAGAATTTGGTCTCACATCCATTTGTTACAAAGACCTTTTCACTGTACTCTCTCTTTCTCTGCTATAATTCCTGTCCAATATCTTCCTAACTCCCTTCGTGGTAACTGCCTGACCTCTTATCTACTCCTAAACCAGCTTTGTTCTGATCTTTCTCTCTACTCTGGTCTCAAATCACTCTCGCCCCCACTTCTGGACCTGTGTCAATGTTCTGGGTGACCTTCCCTCTGTTGGGTAAACAGCAGAATGTTGCTTGAGAAATTGAAGCCCCATAAGAGCAGATGTAGAGTCAAATAGGACTCTGAAAATTGAGTTTTATATTGTGAACTTTTACTTGATTAAGAAAAATTTAAAGTGGCAAAATACCATATTCAGCAATTTTTTAAAAAACAGGCAAAATATTACATGTGCATAATTTGTTAAAAGCTGAAAAACACAAAGAACTGGCTTTATGCATTTTAGTCCTCTGTTTCAACATATGGAGAACATTTGCTCATGAGGGGATTTTATAAAAATCGGTAATATAAATAAAATGTCTTGTGTGAATGAAGGCTGTATATATAAACAGAATTTTCCTTCCCTTTCAGGCCATGGGTGGTAGTTTCCAAATTGAGTAATATGTAGTTGAGGATTCGAATTTAAAACATGACATGTTTCACTATCTAAGATTCAAAGAGTTTGTATATATAGGAATATAGTTTCACATTTTATCTATGTAAATATAGTATAAATTCCTATGGTAAAGTATCTTGATAATCTAAAAATGTACTGGGTTCACCCTGGCCGGTTTGGCTCAGCCATTAGAGCATCGGCCCATGGCCTGGAGTCTCCCGGGTTCGGTTCCCGCTAAAAGCATGTACTTTGGTTGTAGTTTCTCCCCAGCCCTGGTTGGGGTTGTGTGGGTGGTAACAGTCGTTGTGCCTCTCTCACATCGATGTTTCTCTCTCTCTTCCTCCCTTTTTCCCTTCCACGCTATCTGAAGATAAATGCCAAAAATGTCCTTGGTTGAGGATAAAAATAAATAAATAAATAAATAAATAAATAAACAAACAAACAAACAAATAAATAAAAATGTACTGGGTTCATTTCTTTGACACTGATCCACATGTAACTAACAGAGCCTCAAACATAGATGTTATTATTTTACCTTGAAGTCAGGGTCACATTAGGGTCCTATTGGAGGTGTTCACAGAGAGAATAAAAGACCATTTATTGAGAAATTCAAGTTTCAGATAGTTTGTTCAAATACCTTCACTGGACATTCCAGTAAAAAATTCTATTACAACGCAGTACTCAGATCTTACATCTATATATGTGATACCGAGTATCAAATAGTGGTTTGAATCCTCAGACATTCATATCAATTTTAGCAATGGTTCATAAATAACTGCATAGTAACTTTATACATAGAGCACTTTAGACTTAGCCTTTATCTATCAATGTTTTCTATTCATGTTCAAAGTACATGCCCTTAGTTCCAAGATAGGGCATGTCAGATTTGCTCAGGAGGCAGAGATCTAGAACACGTGATCTTAGTTGCAGAATACCATATCTTTGTAGAACATTTAAAAAAATACAAATCAATATATTTTTGTATTTCTTCTATACACTATTTTAATACTAGCATAAATAAATCCACCTTTTATTATTTGTACACCATATAAATTCACAACCAATAGCTCACATGTCTTAAAATAAATCAACCAACAAACTGTTGAACCAAAAACAAATGGCTGGTTTTCAGTTTTGCTATAGATATGAATTTGCAATTTTATTTTTTTCCCTGCCATCCACAGGCAACCTTTGGCAGAAAACTGGTGTCTGGAGCCAAAGACTGTAAAAAAATTATTGGAGAATAATTTGTATTGAGA